CAGATGCAGCCAAAGGTGCTCAAGGGGTCCAGCCTCGATCCGAGATGGTGCAGCCGAGGTCTGCCAAATGGACTCCCTGGTAGCAGAAGAGGGCCAAGCAGGCCGAGGAAGAGGTCATACTAGTTGACCCAGAGGAGGGTACTCAAGCCATCCACCCCCTTCCCTGCGAGATAACATGCCAGGGGGCGGCAGTCCACCTATACATGTGCCGCAATGGGCCATCCGAACTGAGGACAGGCTAGGAACGGGCATTTGCAAGTAGCTTCTCCAAAGCCTTTTGACTCCAGCCATGAGGCGGGAGGTGGCGGAGTCCACAAGAGGCGTTCTCGAGAGCACGCTCGTACTTCAATCTGCATCAGTAAGTCCTTGCTTGTATCGGTTATTCTATTTTGGTCGATTAATGTTGTCGTGCTAACACTTAGCTTTTTTTTTTTTTTTTTTTTTTTGTAGAATGCTTGCTTGGCGATCGCGGTGGTCGACCATCTTCAATCAACGCGGCGCCTCTATGAGTCTAGTCACGCTGAGGTCAAATGCATGAGGACTCGGGTGGCTGCGCTCGAGGTTGTGGGTGTGCGGACGCCCACACTAGAAGCTGAGGTTGCCGAGTTGAAGCACGTCATCGAGGAGTGGTTTAAAATCGTCCATAGGCTGAAGGGGTGCATCTCTAAGCTGAAGGAGGCGGGGGAGAAGCTACAGAGGGAGTTCAGCAAGAGGGCAGCCCGGACGAGGGAGGAAGTCATTGCCGAGTTCAAAGCCTCGGTGGAATACCAGCATGAGATGGATCACTTCATTGCACGCTCCTTTGAGACGAGGTTCAATCTCTGCTGAGACAGGATTCTATGCCGGTTCCCCGACACTATCGAGGTTGTGCAGGACTTTGGCCCTTATGATCCCGATACCCCTCCCGCCGAGGGCAATACTACTGCCATCAAAGTGCCTAAGGAGCCTGAGGAGGCCGAGAACAGCCCTGTCGAGGACTAAAGCACCTGTATGTTGTTGTTGTTGCTTATCTGACTTGTTCTATCCTTTCAATACTTTATTCTTGTCCTTCTTTGTTGTTCTTTTTGTTTGTTATGTATTCAACTCGCTATGTCGAGCTTTACATCTGTAAATATTTATGAATTTAATGGAAAATAATTTTCAGTTCCGAGCTTGTGTGTCTTGCCCTCTTTTTTTATCTTGCTGGACCAAGTTGTAGGCTTTGGTCTTATCTTGGTCGAGGTCTGGGGTAACCCAGATCTTCGGTCTTCGGCTTTCCTAGCCAAAGTGCTTTCCGAGCTCTCATCTCTTGGGGGATGCTTACTTGCACTTGGTTGCAGAAAGCTATCTACTCTTCGTGGGCTAGCCGTTCCTCAACTAGCTCTAATATGATGATTCATCAGTAGGGTGTGCAGAGTTTGGTGACCGCCCTCTGGCCTTCGAAGGCGGGAGCATTCTTCCCCGCTTTGGGCTCTTGCTGTCAACAGCCGAGTCAACTGGATTGGTCGGCTATGCGCTACTGAGCTAGCATGTAACTATGTGTTGCAGGCTTTGGCCGTTCTAGGTCGGCTAAGTCAATGTGCAAACATCCCAGCCGTTGAGAGTTCGATTGGATGATGTGGGTTGCGTGGCATGCGTTGCATGGTATGTTGGGTGGTGTATGTCGTGCAATGTATGTTGTACAGTATGTGTCATGTAGTGTGTGTTGTGCAATATATGTTGAACAGTTAAATGCAAGAAGAGTATCTTTATTGATGTAGAATCACTGGTAGTACATTCTTAGGTCCCTGGTATTCCAACTCCTCGGTACGGGCTTCCCATCGAGGTCTTCCAACCTGTAGGTACCATGTTTGAGTACTTTGGTGACTCTGTACGGTCCTTCCCAATTTGGTTTGAGCTTTCCTTCTCTTAGCTACTATGACTTTGCGAAGAACGAGGTCACCGGTGTTGAACTCCATTCTTCGGTCTTTGGAGTCGTAGTAGTTAGCCATTCTTTGTTGTTGTGCCACCATCTTGAGGTATGCTCGGTTGCGTGCTTCTTCTACCAGGTCGAGCTCTGCGTGGAGATCTTCGTTGTACTATTCGTCCAAAGAGTTGGCGAGCCTATTTCCACAGGGATCATGGCTTCGGTCTTGTAGGCTAAGCTGAAGGGCGTCTCTCCGGTTGCTCTCCACAATGTAGTCCTGTATGCCCAGAGGATGTTGGGTAGTTCCTCGGCCCACCTTTCCTTGGCCTAGTCAAGTCTAGTTTTCAGGTCATCCAATAGGGTTCAGCGCAAAAGGCTTTGAACTTCCGGTCAATGACCTATGCGCCATTGTCAATAATGAGAACTCGAGGTATGCCGAATCGGCAAACAATACCTTACCAGAAGAAATTCTGGTCATTCTGTGCGGTAATGCGTGCTAAGGCCTCGACTTCCAGTCTTCCGCCCACTTGGTAAAGTAGTCCACTACAACTAAAAGAAACTTCTTTTGCCCGATCACGATAAGGAAGGGGCCGAGGATGTCCATTCCCCACTGTGCAAAGGGCCACAGGCTGGTGATCGGCTTCAAGGGACCGCTGGCTGGTGATGAAGGTTGGAGTTCCTCTGACAATGGTCACACTTTCTGACAAGTTGGTTTGCATCTTGCTTCATGGTCATCCAGAAATAACCTTGCCGGAGTGCCTTTTGAGTCAGAGTTCGAGTGTCGGGGTGGTCTCCGTAGATACCTTCGTGTATCTCCCTAAGGACATAGTTAGCCTCGGAAGGGGGGAGACACCTTAGGTAGGGGAGAGTATGTGACCGACGATTGACTTATCCTTGGATAATGCAGTATCAGGCCGACTCATGTGCAAGTCTCTTGGCTTATGCTCGGTCTTTTGGTAGTGTACTGTCTAACTACCGCACTATGGGATCCATCAAGGACGGGCCTTGCTGAACAAGGAGGATGAGGAGAGCCATTGGTGCTATTGGGCTGGGCCAATGTGTCCATCAATAACGTTGGGTCGAGGTTGGTATGCGGCGAGCTAGATAGCTTTGAAGTACGTCAACTCGGATGTTTTCGGCTCGGGGGATCTACTGAATAACAAAATGTTTGAGCCACTGGATGAGCTCTTGCACCTTTTGCAGGTAGCTCGCCATAGTCGGGGTCTGTGTCTCTGAAGGCTTCGATGCGCCGAGCACCAAGGTCTAAGGCAAGTCAAAGTCAGACGATCAGAGCTTCGTACTCAGCTTCGTTGTTGGAGGCCTTCAACTTGAACTTGAGAGCATGCTCTAGTACTGTGTCATCTGGGTCGGAGAGGATGAGGTTGGCCCCACTACCTTGTTTATTGGATGAACTATCCACATGGAGAGGCCATATCTGAGGTGTTGGGGCCAGGTCTTGTGTTGTGAAGGTGCATTCCACCAGGAAGTTGGCCAAGGCTTGGGCCTTGATGACGGGCCAAGGTGCATAGTCGATGTCAAACTTGCTCATCTCCACACTCCACTTAACTAGGTGGTCGGATACTTCCGATCTCGGTAGCATTTGCTTGAGAGGTTGGTCGGTAAGCACTAGAATGTTGTGGGCTTGGAAATATGGCTTGAGCTTCCTTGCCGAGGTGACTAGGGACAAGACTACCTTCTCAAAGTTGGTGTATCAGGTTTCTACGTCGTTGAGAACTTTGCTAGTGTAGTAAATCGGCCTTTGTATCCGATCTTCTTCCTTGACCAATACCGAGCTGACCACCTCATCACCGACTGAGAGGTAGAGCAATAGCTCATCCCTTGGGCTCGACTTTGTGAGGAGAGGCAGCGAACTTAGGTATCTATGGTCCACTAGAAATCCTTCATTCTTTTTAGGGCCTTGAAGAAGGGCATGCATCGATCCACGGACTTGGACATGAACCTAGTGAGGGCGGCTACCCGTCCTGTGAGGCGTTGCACTTCTTTATAGGTCCGAGGTGACTACATATCAATGATGGCCTGGATCTTCTCTGGGTTGGCTTCAATTCCTCGTTGTGTGACCATAAACTCTAGGAATTTGTCGGAGTTGACCCCAAAAGCACATTTAGTCAAGTTCAACTTCATTCTGTACTTCCTGACGGTGTCGAAGACTTCTTTCAGGTCGGCTAGGTGGTGCTCGACCTTCTTGCTCTTCACAAGCATGTCGTCGACGTATGCCTCAACCTTGCAACCGAGTTGATTCTTGAATACCTCGTTCACCAATCGCTAATAGGTAGCGCCGGATTTCTTGAGGCCAAAGGGCATAGCCTTGTAGCAGTAAAGTTCGTGGTCTATGATGAAGGTGGTCTTCTCCTGGTCGTCCGAATGCATTTGAATCTGATTGTAACCCGAGAACATATCCATTAAGCTCAGGAGTTCATTCCTCGCTGTTGCATCAACGAGCTGGTTGATCCTTAGAGGGGTAAAGTTGTCTTTAGAACAAACATTGTTCAGGTCAATGAAGTCAATGCAGATTCTCCACTTCCCCGTTAGCCTTCTTCACCATTACCACGTTGGCCAGCCAGTCAAGGTACTTTACTTCCCAGATGAAGCCGGCGTCGAGCAGTTTCTGGACCTCCTCCTCATTGATTACCAGTCACCGTTTTGCGGCAAAGCTCCTCTTCTTCTGCCTAATGGGTCGGTAACATGGGTCGGCGTTCAAACAGTGGGTAATGACCTTGGGGTCGATCCCCGGCATGTCCGTTGCCGACCAAGCAAACACATCAACATGGTCCCTTAACAGCTACATGAGGTCTTCCCGAAGATGATCATCCAGGAGAGATCTGACCCGGGCCACCTTCTCGGTGTCTTCCTCAAAGAGCAGTACCTGGATGAGGTCTTTAACAGGTTGGCCGCACTGCATCTTCAATTTGTCCCGCGGATCGATGCTCTCTGTCGTCAGGGTTTCTATGGCCAGGTGCTTTCCTCGGCAAGACATCAAGTAGCATTAACGTGTTGCCCTCTGGTCTCCACGCGCCACTCCCACTCCGTATGGGGTCGGGAACATCATGGCTAGATGAAATGTGGAGACAAAGGCCCATAGAGCATTCAAGGTCAACTAGTCGAGGATGGCATTGTAGGATGAAAGACAGTGGATGACAAAGAAGTCCAACATTGCAATAGAGGTTATCTCACCATTTTCGATTAGCAAGGGCAGTAAAATCTTCCCCTTGGGCATGAGTGACTCCCCGAAGAAACCCATCAGAGGAGTGTTGACTAGAGTAAGGCAGTCCTTGCTGTTGCTGAGTTGTTCAAACGCATCTTCGAATAAAATGTCGTCTGAACTCCCTATGTCTACCAGGATGCGCCGAACTTTGAAGTTGGCTATCTCGGCCGTGATCACCAGGGCATTGTTGTGCGAGGTCTGGACCCCCCTGAGATCGTCGTCGGTGAAGGTGATTGGGTCTTCTCTCCTTCTCTTCTGCTCTCTATCATCAATCTCGAGCAACCGCACATATGCCTTTCGGCCCGAGCTGCTCTTCCCTCCGAAGGCCATCCCTCCTGATATCATAATGATGACTTCGGCTGGGGGAGCTTGGCCTAGGGGTCTGGGGCGCAGTTCCTCCTTTGACTTGTCTATTTTTATGTCAATGAAGCCCCCAAGGTAGCCATGTTGGATCAGGTCCTTGAGGTGTTGCTTCAGGTCATGACAGTTGTCGATCTCATGGTCGTGGTCTTGATGGAACTCATAGTACTTGTCTCGGTTCCTCTTGTTGCTCTGAGTCTTCATCTTCTCAGGCCACCTGACGTACTTGTTGTCATGAATCTGAATCAGGATTTCAGATCGCAGTGTTGTCAGCGGCGTGAAATTCCTATAGGTCATAGGCGGGTCCTTGGCCTTCGGTCTGTTCGGCGATCCTGTCTCTTGTTGTCTCAGTCCGCCCTCTCTGTCTCACGATCGTTGGGGTCTCTTGTCTTCCTATCATGTTGTTCTTCCTCGCCTCTTAGTTGTTCTTGTGCTTCTTCAGTGTTTATGTATTTTTGGGTATGGGCCATCAACGCGACCACAGTCTGAGGAGGATTCTTTGAGATCGAGAGAAACTGAATGGAGAGGGGCGAAGGCCTTGCATGATAGCTGTGATGGACACCGACTGGTTCAGTGCTTGGACGTGTAAGGCCTCAAAGTTGAACCTTGCTAGGTATTCTCTAAGGGAATCTCCCTTCCTTTATCACGCTTGGAAAAGACTTGCCAAAGTTTTCTAGTGTTTCTTACTAGTCGTGAATTGTGCCAGGAACTGGTTCTCCAGCTGCTCCCAAGAGGAGATGGAGTGTGAGGGAAGGGAGGTGTACCATGTTAGGGCAACGTCCTTGAGAGTTGCTACGAAGGCCTTGCACATCAGGCCCTTGAACGAGTCGTGCAGCATCATTTGGGCCTTGAAAGCTTCAAGGTGGTCATTGGAATCTGTGGATCCATTGTACCTCTCAAACTGTGGGGCTCGCCAGCCGGCCGGGGGGAGCTCGTTCATGATGTCTTGGGTGAAGGGCGACTCCTTGGCAGGCTAGTTTCTTAGTTTTGTGGGTCAGACAACGGGAGGGGCTGCACTTCTTTCGGCTTGGCTGTGCTCCAACTCAGTCAAGTGTTGTCGATGTTACCAAATCTCCACATCCCTGTGATCTAGTACCACAGGTGTGACCTTCTCTTTCTTGGGGGCTGTTGGGAAGTCTTTGACGAAACTAGACTCGACAATGGAGACCTACTAGGGTGGCATCCATTTATCGAGCCTTTCTTTGGCGGGTACACAGGTGGTTTGGCGCAATTTGCTACAGTCATCATGTCCATGGGACTGGGCTGAGGAGTCCGATCTTCTTGATGTTTGTCTTTCTTGTTTGGACAGCACCTTCCCCTTGTTCGACCGACGCTTTTTGGGGTCCTCAAGGCGAGGATCAGCTGCAATAAGCGTTGGGGCGAGAGAAGGGACGGTCTGCCTAGGTTGTGCCGCAGAGCCTAGTGTCTACATCATGGCCAAGATTTGGTCAACCTTCTACTGCATTGCCTGAAACTGGGTGGGGTCGACCCTCGCACGGTGAAGGGCTACGGTGAGAGCGGGATCCCCGAGATGGGGATCGGCCTGTTGATCGTTCCGAAGTGTTTCTTGGCATCTTTCTTGATCGTGCGGAGAGAAGATTAGGAATGGCTTTTTGTGCAATTCCCACGAATGGCGCCAATCTGATACTGCTCGATCCGAGGTCGTAGTTAGATAATCCTACCAACTGGACGGGACCGAGGTGGAAGGACAAAGTCGCACTTCAAGATCTGAAACCAAGAAGACAGTTAAAGGCCCAAGGAGTTATCCCCAGGTAAGTACTCTGATGCTCAAGTTAGTCGAGAAAGGTGGGTGTTCGGGCCAAGCAATTAGAGAACGGTGCTGGTCTGAGCAGAGTAACGGTATGGAAGTAGAAAATTGGATCCCTTACCTTGAGCAGGAGGTACCTTATTATAGCCGAAGATCCGTGTCCTGGTCGGATGAGGCTGTCAGGGTTGTCGGAATGAGGTTATCCGTCGAGGTCTTCGAGATAAAACCTAATCCCCAGTGGAGTCCTCATCCGTACGATGTTCTCTTGTCTGCATCGCACTTATCCAAATGATGTGGTGTCGATGTGGCCAAGGCGATAAGGTGGGCCATGGAGGTGATGTGGTGCTGACATGGCCGAGGTGATAAGGCGGTCATGGAGGTGGCACATGGCATTCGGGGCCAACTCAACATTGGTAGTGGCAAAATCATTGAAAAGCACACATCAGGCAAGTGTTGAGATTCCATTTCGTTAAAAAAGACATAGTCTTGAAGGAAACATAGAGATGGCATTCGCTAGAGAAAATGCATCTTAGAAGGACCTTTGTTGGAAAATCACATCTAAACATACATCTCCAATAGTGAAACCTACAATAGAATAGGGCTGATCTCTAGTGGTAAAACTCGTAGTTGAACAGGGCTGAAGAGGGACAAACAAGGAAAGAAGGTTAAGAAACAGAGAAAGAAACAAGCACACGCAAAAAGCAGGGGGAGGGTTCAAGGTAGGGGTGTTACGGTATTTTAAAATCCGATTTCAAATTCGAGATTTGATGATATATTCGAATCGAATTCAGATAATTCAAATATTATATTTGATTGAATTCGGATATTCTATTCATATTGTTTAATTAATCGAATCAAATTCAAATATTACTTGATTTGGTTCATATTTGAATTCGACTAATTATTTAATTTTTATATATAATATAAAAATGTTTAAATATTTTACATAATTTATATATAAAAATTAAATTATATAAATAACTTATATATTATATACATTATTTAAATAAAAATCTTTATTTTATGTATTTATTAATTACCTAAAATAATTAATTGGTCTAATATTTAATTAAATTCGAATTCAAACATTGATTTTTAATGTCGGATATCGAATTTTCTAATCAAATTTGAATTCAGATACTACCTGATTCGATTCAAATTCAATTTGTTTACACCCCTAGTTTAAGGTAAAAGACACAAGAAAAGAAGCCATAAAGGTTATCAAATGGCACACACAAGTTACACGAACCAAGGTTCAAAGTATCGGAAATGCCTTGGATACACATGTGTATCGGAGAAAAACTAAGATATGCATAGATACGCTTGGAAACACTATAAATACTTTAATAAATCATAAAATTACATCAATAACACTAAATATAAGACCTCAATGAGGTGTATATACATTAAATTAATATATTTTAATGGTTTTATGAAAAATATATTGTAGTTAATTATAATTTCATTAAAAATCCTATGCATAACTATAATTTATAAATTATAATTCTTAAGTTTTAATGTTTTATGGGATGGGAAAAACCCAACTCTCCTATCAATAATTATTTATTATTTATTTTCAAAAATTATAAAAAATAAATAAACATTATATAATATATTCAAAAAATAGTTATTAAAGAAGAAATTTCAATTGCTTTGTGGATATGGTAGATCATCCAAATAATTATAACATATTCAATCATTATGATCAAATGATAAAACATAATTAATTATTTATTTATTTTTTAATTCCAAAAATATAAAAAATTAAAAAAATAATTATTAAATAAGAAATTTCAATTGGTCTGTGGATATGATAGATCATCCATAGAATTATAATATATTCAATTGTTGTGATCAAATGATAAAATATAATTAACTATTATTTATTTTTTAATTCTAAAAATATAAAAAATAAAAAAAAATGCTAAAGAAGGAATTTCAATTGCTCTATGGATATGATAGATAAATCCATAGATTTAAAGCATATTTAGTCTTTATAGGCAGAGAAAAATTACATTTTCAATTTTTTTATTAATTTATATTTTCCCCAAATATCTTCATGAATTTTCCATAAATTTATTAATAACACAAAAAAATTATGATTTTGAATGTAAGAAATGTAGATCAACATAATTTAAACATTCAAGAAAAAAAAGAAATCACAAGATATTATAAAAATTTGAAAAAACTTACCTATTTTTGCCATATTTTTTCAAAATTTGAAAATTTTCAAAAAAAATAACAATTCACACTTGCTTTTTGCAAATCTAACACTCTAGGAATGAGGTTTGGAGTTTTAAAGTAATTTGAGGGTGAAAGGATGCTTATTTCAGGGAAAAGAATATTGTTTTTTCCCTTTATTTTTTTTTTTTTTTCAGTTTTTGGTCATATCTTTTTTATCGATACACTACCGATACGCCCCGATACATCCCCAATACACCCTGATACAGTCTTATACAGGTCCAATAAAAGACAATACGTCCGACTTCCATGCTTATCCCGTATCTGTTTTTTTTAAAATACAATACGATACACCCCATATCGGGCATATCGTATCAAAATTTTAAACCTTGACACAAACAACTTAGATTCCATTTCATGAAGGCTAGAGTGCCATCTGTACCCAGCTTGACACATAGTCCTAAAGGTAAAGTTAGACCTTTGGTTGAGAGAAAAAAAAATGCTTCTTTTGTGTTTTCTTTTTTTGGATAAATTGCTAAAATCTCCCCTATAGTTTCTAGTTGTTACTGAAACTTCTCTTAAAGTTTAATAATTACAATCACCTCCCCTATACTTTCTAACATAATTGCAAATAGACCATTTTGTTATAATCCTCTAAAAAGAAGCATAAAAATATACTTATGGAGATACTTTTGACCAAAACCCTTTCATTCTTTTTTCTGAAATTCGTTTATTTTTCAAATTTGCTCTTTCATATCAATCATTCAAAGATACAATCACTACTTTAAATTCTCTTTTATTTTTTTATTGTCTATAAAGTTTGTATTGTTTTTTAGATAGAAACCGGTCTCAATAATAACTGTATGGATATTTAGACATTATTATGCCTTCTTTTAGAAGATTCTAATAGACGGTCTTTTTCCAGCATTGGGTCCCAGTCCTCCCACACGAGAAATGTGGCAAGTGGAGAACCACCCAAGCTTTGCCATGGAGCATACATCACATCAAATTAATCTTGTGTTACAGTGATGAGTCAAGCCCAATCACAGATTCAATCTAATATTTACATTACAAAGTTCAGAACCTACACAAATTACTGGTTCACAATGGCACAATGTTTTTGTCTCAAAAAAGTACAATAAACTTTTTACCAATAGACCATCTAACAAATATTATTGTTTATTTATTTATTTATATATATAAATTACATGAACAAAATCCTTGTTAGGAGAAAAAACGAATTACATAATTGACCAATACAACAAATTGTGCTTTCCTGTTTTTAACAGAGAACAGCGTTGGAGGTGGCGTGGGGAGATTAGCCGCCTCCGTCTATATGAAAACTTGCTTCTATGCGGTAGATTGCCCGCTTTCCCCCTTTTTTTTTTTTTTTTTTTTGTGGGATTATTGTAATAGATGAATCACCATACATCACGGAGATACCTTCCTTCCATTTGCAGATTCTTCACCATGCTCTCGGCCTTGGAGCTGTCCAGAGATCCCTGAGAACACAGTTCCAGAGCCGTCTTTTAGTAAACCAGGTTTTATTTTGTTTTCTACATGAAGCTAGTGTCAAAATTCTCCAGATAGGCCAACTAAACATTTGAAAATAGGTGATGCAGATTAACTAAAGGCATCCTAGGTCAGTTTGAAACTGTCGAGAAAGAAAGCTGAGGTAAGATGAAAACTGACTTCAGAGATCTCAGGTCCAAACAATTGAACGAACAAACATAAAAATAATTGGAATCCAACCGAATGATCCTAACAATTGACCACGTACAGGGTTATAGTTCTACATCATGTACGCACGAGTATGGGAAGGTATGGGAACTATGCCCAAACTTGAATGGTATGGGAAGGTATTAGGTGCGCATTTGCCCCTGTATGTTTTGTGTGTAAGGGGTGTGTGTGGCATTTTGGTCCAGAAGCTGTAGAATTATGCGTTCAGGAGTCAAACACCCTCCAAACTTCTCTGGAAACAACATACCTGTTGTTGGACAATGGTGTGGAGTGTGCGGTGGACGTCCCTAGCCATCCCTTTGGCATCACCACAGACATAAATATAACCACCATTTGAGATCATGTTCCAAACATCCGATGCCTAGACAGAAATGAGCAAATAAGCATTGATCAGCAACTCTACAGTAGCTCAATCCATATTAGTTGATATAAATTATTAGCAAGATTTCCCATACAAGGGAAACAGATGGCTTTTAGCAATGCAGCCAAGCGTTGTAGGTCAAACAACAAAGAAGATGGTGAGCACAAGAAACCCTTTGGAGCTTCATAATAAGATATTTGAAGACTCCTCAAGATAGGCCATCTAGGTACTATTATCACCATTAAAATGAAGAGGTGAACATTTGTCATACCTTTTCCATCATTTTATGCTGCACATATTCTTTGGTAGGTCCCTCTCGTGAGAAAGCAATAACAAGTTCAGACATTGCACCAGAAGCAACAAATCCATTCAATTCCTCTTCATAGATGTAGTCCTGCAGTCAAATAATAACTCAGATCAAAAGTTTGCAATTGAAGAAACTTCAGGCAATCATAATAGACCACCCAAGGATATGAATTACCATTTTGCGGTTTCTGCATCCAAAGAAGAGGACTGCAGGTCCTAGTTCTGCTCCAGCTTCCTTCAGAGCAGCCCTTTCCTGAAAATTGATTAATATATAAATCTTTTAGTTGGTTCCACTTCAGAATGCTATAGAATGTAGTAAATAACTGAAAATTCACAACCAACAAAATAGACCTGAAGGAATCCCCGAAAAGGAGCCAACCCTGTGCCAGGGCCAATCATGATAATTGGCAGTGAAGTATCTCTGGGCAGTTTGAAGTTGGATTGTCTCACAAAAATAGGCGCCCAACTGCAATCATGGCTTTCCTCCAAAGGCACTGAATTCTGCATTGTAATGGCTCAAATTAGTTGAAGTGTACAAGGCACTGGTTGTGGTTGTCAGGACAAGTTTGCAGAAGGAAGCATATAGAGGTCACTAATTGGTGAAAAAATTGTAATGACTATTGTTTTTAATTGGCATTAGTAATCAGTATTTTATTTAATGTGTTGGTCAGGTTTGAATCCCTAAAATTTTACGTTCTTGTGAAATGGAATTACTAACACAAGCTTACATGCAAAAGAAAAATTAATCAAACATTTGTGCATCAACCCCCAGACCATGTGCCCCACAAATCAATTTCTTCCTGTTGACCCCTGTCTCATGCTACATTACCGACATATTTCTAGCACTACAAATAAAAAAAAAAAAATGTACCTTAATCCAAGTTGAGCAGACTCCTTTGTGAATCCTTCCCACTGGTGTCTTTTCATACACTAAGGCACATGTAACATGAATTCTAGATGGTGCCATCCTGTAAACAGCAAAAAAGAACACAAAATGAGAAAATACTGATCAAATGATGAAAAGAAGAGCAAACACAGGTCCACTTAATAAATACTTGGAGAAAACAATAAAGGGGAGTTCTACTACCTCTCACAAAAACTATTTCAATGGAAAATAGAAAAACCAATAAAATGCATTTCCTTATTAGTATAGAATTCCTACACAAGACATGTTTCTACTGACTGCTCACTTTAATCATCTAACACAAAGCTTGGAGCAGATCAAATAGTTAACTAATCAGGCAAGACTAGTGTTTTAACACAGAGATCTTCTTAGGTGCTTTGTTTTACTTATGTGATTTCTAAAAAAGTAGATTGAATTAAATCCAAACAGTCACCGAACCAGGCCATCCTAAAGGTAAAATGGATTTGATTATCACAGTGCATATAGGCTGAGTTTTGTTCTATAGATTTCCTATGGAAGACAGTTCTATTAATCACTGCAGTTAATAAAGTCCAAGTTTCTACAATTAATATATAACAACAGTCCTTCCTTTATGGATTGCACAGTTGACTACTTGTAATAATAACATATTAACAGTAATTGGAGTATCTTTAAATTTGAAAAAATAGAGCTCTATTTACCTTGGGGAGGATGAGATAGAATAGTATCTTGGCTGCAAGCGAGGAGCTATTGCTGCAAAAAACACTCCAAGAGGAGGTTTAGCTGATGGAAATTCATTCATGACTTCAAGAAGACTTCTCTGACTTGCAATTACCCACTGTGCATATTCATCCTACACAAAGAAAATTGCCGCTAAATAAAGAGAAAAATGGGAGCAGGTAGTGGTGTCAGTTTTCTAAGAAAAGTTTAAACCTTTCCAGCAGGAGATGCAAGGAATCTTAATCGATCAGCCTCACTTTGATCAGAAGCATGAGCAGCTAAAGCCAATAAAGCAGCCTGGTAAAACATATGCATTGGTAACATAATTGAACCAAGGTAAAACAAAAAATGTGTGAAAGATTGAACCAACAAAAGGTATGCAAATGGATTTCAGCAGATAAGTGAACCTTTTTTGGAGAATTTAAAAGATCTGCATATCGAGTTAGAGCTATTCTTAAAGTGCAAGGAGATGGGAAGGGAGGTGGCAAGGAGCTTCCACTAATTGGTGTTCCATCCTCTTTGTCAGTATGAATGGAGAAGAAAGTGTCCCCAGCATAATCTAACAACCTCTCAGCTTCCTCCACAGTTTCAATACAATTCTCAGAGTACACACCAACATGATCTCCTGTTTCATACCTGAGGGAAAATGGAAAAGAAACAGATATCACATATGAACTATGCGACAATGACAAAACTGAAATACCAAAAACAAACAAGATTCTGATTAACCATAGCAATTCCCTACCCTCAAACAATGAGGAAAAAAACAGAATCACAATAGATGAGTTGTAAACAACATGGAAAAAATAGAGTATTTAAGAGATAAGATACAAAGAACTTACGATAATCCAGTGCCTGAAATGTCAAATTCAAGATGAGTGCAAGAACGATCAGATTCTGGTGTGTGAAGTTCTCTCCGCACAACCACATTAGACCTTCATTCAAATTGGACACGATTCAGATTTGAAAAATACTATACTGAACTTAAAATCCAGAATTCTTAACTTCCACTAGTACCTGCATGGATGTTGAATATCATGTACAGCATGACCATTTGCATTACTCCAGTTATTGCCTTTTACTGGAACATCTGCAGGATCATAAAATATGACCCGGTACTCTGGAACAGCAGCAGTGTAAGGAGTGGAAACAGTTGTATCATCCTCATCCCTCAGCAGCTGATCCAACTCAGGCCATAACAATTCTCGCCTATAACAAAAATAGTTGATGCCATGCCAAACATTTTAATACAAACATAATGAAGAAAGTAAGAATGAAGCAGAAAAATATATCAATTCAAAAAAGCAAGAGAAGTTCGTAGTACCATGCTGCAAAGTCATCTTCAATACACTGATCATCATCTCCAAGACCCACAGGGACAAGTCGTTTCCCACCTATTAAAGCAAGAAAGCTTTATAAGAATTCAAGATAAGAGCTATGGATTTGACTGTGTATAATAATACAAAATTTCATACATTGTATATACTTTCTAATGTGATTTATGCATTTTGGTTAGCTTGACAAATACATACCAATATAATGATGCATGTACTAATTCATGTGTAAAAAATATTCTTCAGACACATCTAGTGGTGGGTCAAATTTAGATAACTTAACAAACAAATGAGTATGCTTAACTAGTCAAAATTCTACTAAAGAATAATGAGGCATATTGATAACAAGGTACCTAGATTAACTCGATCTGTTCACACTTCAGAAGTTGTGTTAAGTATTTGTGCTTTAAATTAAGTGGCTATGCCTCATAAGCTTACCACAAGCATTCATCAAGCATGGCAATGTTAAAAGGAAAAAGCAATGACAAAGCCAAACATCAATTCTTGAAAACAAATTGTCGAACCAAAATCTGATTAATTGGCAGATTGTAGCTAACAAAGTACTGAGTTTATTTGACTGAATACCTAACCAAACCACCCAACAGCAATAACAATAGAAAAAAATACCAGGTACTACTGTTGCTGATCCTCATATTATTAGATTATGAAATTTGGTTGCATATGCTAATATAAAATGATTAAATGAAAAACAGAGTTAACACTCCATAACAAATTAGTAGTTGAGTCATTATAGTTATAACTGATATTATCATCAATTTATCATTGATTAGAATTAACAAGGAAAGCATGATCATCCATACCATCTGATCATAGGCAAATAGGAAAATAGTTATAAAAGCACATATATAAGTGCCAATGTGTTATCAACCATCAGAATGAATCTCCAATGGTATAAAAGAGAAAGGAAACATCTATGTGCGACACCAGAAGCACTGGATACTGGAACTTAAAGCTGTGGTTCACGCCATTTACCAAACCCATATAAAGAGTATCTTCCAAGATCCTAAACGTATAAAAGGTGTTATTGTGTTTATTCATGCTAACAGAAATGGCCAGTTGATTTTTATGGACAAAACAGGGAGGACAGGCAAAAGGGAGAAAATGATTCTAAAAGCAAATCCAAAGAGAAGTGCTTCTCAAAACCAAGAATCCTGTTAAATTCATAGCAAAGAGGTCAAACAAACATACCCTGTTCAGCAAGGAGCTCATCCACAACCTTTGCCACCTATTTTCCCCATTAAACATAAAGAGCAGAATTTAAAAGTGAGGCCCAAAAACAACGATATGAGAAATTTAATAATCGAACGAAGACCAAAACAATGATAGGAGAAGTTTCATAGTCGATTTTCCTTTCCTACCTTATTGAAATGCTCATATTGCCTGTTACCGAGACCAAACACTCCGAAAGTAAGTTTCTCAAGCCAGGTTCCCCGCTCTTTTCCCTGCATATCCATCCATTAACCACAGTTAGAACCAATCAACACAATTATCAAAACATGAAAAAAGTAAGCTTTAGTTCACAATATTTACCTCAGTAAACCACTTGTAGAATCTAGCAGCGTTATCAGTGGGTTCACCATCACCATATCTACACACCCACATAAAATTCCTCAAAATTTAGCAAAAACGGCAGTTAAGAAAAGAATAAATACATGCAAAAAAATTTAGGCAAAATGACAATTTAGACTATAGCATACGTTGCTAAAAAGAAGAATGCTAAAGTTTCTTTCTTCATTTTCTCCTCGTATTCATCATCATCAGCTGCATAGTCATCCTGAAAATAATATAAACAAGCGTTAGCAGTTCCAATGAAATCTCAGATTGTAAATTAAAAATTCAAAAGCAATCGATCTTTACCAAATCAACTACTTTAAAGGTTGCTTTTTCGTAACGTGCTTTTGCTTCCTCAGCAAGTGCCTGAATATAACGAAAGTCAAACAAAAATTCACCCAACAATTCAAAATCAAAGCTACAATCAAATGAACCGAAGATCATTCCAACCACCGAGTTAGAAGAAATCAAATTCCAAACCTTAGCAAATCCCTCAGAAGTACCAGTCTGAGTGCCAAAAAAGATCGTAACCTTCTTCGTCCCGTCATCAACCTCCGGCTCCGGCTCTTTCACGATCACCGGCTTCGGCGCTTCAACACCCTTGCTCTCTTTCTGCCCAGACGACCTCCGCCAAACGAAGACAAACACACATCCAATCAAGACAGCGATCGAGGTCGTCAATATCATCAGAAACTCCTTATTCTCAATCAAAATCGCCTCTCCCGAAGTCGTCGACACGTTCGATGGATCCGAGTTCCTCTTCAGAAATGCTGACATTAGATCCAAAGCAGAAACCTTTACAGATTCCGAGTTCATGGCGTCTAAAAACTTTGCCAGAGCTCGTCGTCGGAGAATCAAACTCAGACTCAATATCACGAAATTCCGGTTGCTCAAGCACCGGAATCTCGTCCCCTAGAACCAGCGGTGTCGATCAAAGAGTGAGTCTCTGTTGTTGCTGTGTTTGAGTGATGAATCCAAAAAGCTCGCTTAAATGGTTAGAAGAGACTCCCTGTGAAGTCTGAAACTGAAAGAACGTGGGAGGAGAAGAGAGAGTTTTTATTTGCACCTGCGACCGACCGAACGCCTACCAAACTCGACTGGTCAACCCACCTAACTCCCTTAACTGGAGTTAGTGTTATCCGGTTAAAATTAATTTCCCAAAATGTCCTTATAATTTTTATTTATTTTAAATTACAAGAAAGGACCGGATTTCCTGCCCAATATTCTCTACTCACACTCTCAAGTCTCAACGCCTTAAATAGCAACCATACGTCGCATCTTGTAGTGAGATGTGCTATTTAAGGCGATGAGAAACCTGGATTCCTATAACTCAATTATATGAGTTTGAACTCATTTAGTCATATTTAGTCATGAAATGTTTTTCATATTTGCTTTTTATTACCTGAATACCTGTTTTGCGTAACCTTGAGAAAGGAATTAGACAATTAGTGCTTAGGTAAGGTCGGCCGCATATTAATGAAGGACAGCTTGTAGACCGGTGAGTAGCTGGGCATCTGGTGTGGACGTGTGTGTTTGCTGAGGAGAAATCAGCTACCAACTACTCCCTCGGTTGTTTTTATCCCAAAAAAAACTACTCCGTCGGCTAAAACCATGATATCACGGCTTTTAATCGAATTTTATTTCGTTAAGCTACGAGCCATCAATTCACGGTTTTAGCCGAATTTAGGAGGCGTTGGGTAAGCATTTTCGTATAATCTTTTCGACCTTTCAAAGTTTGAAAACCTAAATTTGATACTTCTTCATGTTGTAAAAAGTCATGGTGGAAGGATAAAGTCTTACATCGAAGTATGTAATTATAGAAAGATTCAGAGATTCGAGGAATTATTTTTTGGATAGGCATTCCGATGTTCAAGTTAGAGAATAGTAAAGACATCAATCAACACGAACTAAGGTATGTGAGTTGGTCGACACTGAGGTAAGTGGAATAAGGGTGCTTGATTGAGTTTTGAGACCGAAAGTCCCTTACCTTGAGCGTAGCATACATATTTATAGTTGAACGTTCATGTTCTGATCGAATTGGGCATCTGGGGTTGACGAGATGAGGTTGTCTGTCGAGGTCTCCGGGGGGTCTTTTCTTCTCCAACGGAGTTCGCTTCCTTATCTATGTGGGACACTCCTTCCTGGTCATGCTCTCCCGTTACGCGGCCTAGAAAGAGCGGTCATAGAGTCTGCCACATGGTGCTCTTAAGCTAGCTCGGCAATCACCCAAACACTACTCCTCCTATTCCGAAGTCTATGAGTATAGTGCTCGGTCATGGTTGGGCGGAAGAGTCCTGGTCCTTGGCTGAGAAACTCTATTGTCCTTGAGCTGGATGTCTAGGGTGAAACCGATTTGATGGGCGGATTGGGCAGTTCGACGCTCATGCCGTTTCCGTTACGAGTCTGCAAATGCATCATTTCGTCTTCCCGAGGTGTACACACGTGAAAATTGCGATAGAATTTATACGTCGTTGATTTGAATTGATCTAAACAGTTGGCTACCTCTATATAAAGGGAGGTGGCAAGCCATTTCACTTTGTCATCTTGGGTGAAAATGATAATAGGAGCTCGGTGGGTGTTAGTCCTCAGCTAGTGTTTAGGTGTTCCACGGTGTTACTCTTTGGTAAGATGTCTTCATCTTCCTTCTCATCTTCATCTTCTTCTTCTTCTTCGTCCGACTCTTATACGTCAGGTATTGAGTCCGAGCCAAGGTCTCACCCCGAGGCCACTACGCTCGTGGCCCGCGAGATTGACGCCCATGGGGCCAAGGTCGAGGGGCTTAAGGGTGAGGGTACCACGACGGAGGAGACCGAGGTCCTTCGGGAGAGCAAAGTCAAGGAAATCGATAAGGCCGAGGTAAACGTAGAGGTGGTGTCCAAAGAGGGGCTCGACGCCTCTGTGTAGTTCGGCAACCGCTTCGCTTCTTCTCCGTGTAGTTTAACACCTCGAGACTTGGCCCGTATTAGATCCCTTCATTGTATCCTCGAGGAGTATGAGCTGTGGCGTACCTATTTACAGCTGAATGTCTATGTTCTGATTGTATTAGGCATCCAGGGTTGTCGGGATGAGGTTGCTTGCCGAGATCATCAAGGGGTCCCCTCTTCCCCAGCGGAATCTGCTTCCTTGTCTGTGTGGGTCACTCCTTCCTGGTCATGCTCTCCCATTACGTGGCCCGAACAGAAAACAAAATGATTTAGGATGCATTTGACATTTTTTATTCCAAGGACTTATCTCCTTTTCATGGTTAAAAACTTAGTGTTCATAAGAGCATTAATTGAAAAAAGGGAAAAGCAAAATGCAGCCTTAAAATACTTGAAAAAGCTTATGGAAATTCAAAATGGTAAAAATTATGGAAGCTTTCTGTTTTTCTATATTTAAAATCTTTCATTTAATAGCTCTATAGATCAGATAAAACAAGATGCATAAAACCATCTAGATGTTTAAAGACAAGAACCTAAAAGCTCATTACATCTTTTGGCCATCTAGATTATTGAAAACATTATCTAAAAATACTTGTATATTTTAAGGGTTGTTAGGTAAGTCTTTTTAGGTAGATCTTTCAACAGCCCAATAGATAAGAAGGCACTTAAGCTTTTAGGGTCTTGTCTTTAAAGATTAAGGCCGTTTGGTTCGTATCATGGTCTATCAGGTTGTTAAAAACAATTGGAAAGGTTATTTTCAGCATGAAAAGACCAAAAGTTTCATTTTGAAGCTTTCTTATTTTTTTCTTTTTTAGTCTATGCAATACAAAATGGAAAAGGACCACTTTTTTTCTTTTACTCTATGCAATACCAAATGGAAAAACGACCACTTTTTTTTTATCTTTTGAGCTTTCCAAACTGAAAAAACATATCAAAAAAATGCATCAAACACCACCTTACTCATAGGGGTGTGAATAGGGTGGATTTGAGTTGAGTCAAGCCAAATATTTGGCTACTGAAGCTTGGCTCAACCAAAAAGACATGAGGCTTGAGCTCGAGATCGAGCTCGGTTCGAGCTAGAGAGTTGAGCTCGAGTTCTTTTCAACTCAAAAGCCCATAAGCTCAAGCTCGACTGTAAGCCAAATTTCTTATAAAATAAAAAAATTATAAATATAAAATATTTATTTTTTCATTTTATATATAAAAATTTAAGAATTACAAAAATTAATTATTATTATGCATATAATAATTAAAAATATTATATATATATATATATATATATATATATATATATATAAACACGTTAGATTTGAATTCGACTCGAGTAAGTTACATTCATTTCCATCCCTACGTTAGATTTGAATCCGAATTCGTTTAAGTCGTTAACTGTTATAACCCAGAGCTACCCAACGGGAGTAGCTGAATATTGAGCGTTTAGTGTTGAAAACACGTGGAACGGGATGGAAATTTTAGTATTAGTGTTGGTTGGTCGTGTTTCGTTGGAGGGCAGATGCCAGATGGTGTATGTTAGTGCGTGTGAAGTTCGTTGGCGAGGAGGATTACCACTGAATGCAGCAAAAGGTTTTGACCTGCCGGCCCACAGTTTTGGTTGAGGACTTTATATGTTTATATGGGAGTCAATGGTTACGCGTTTTGATTAACCCCCGCCGATCAGTGGGAGTTGAAAAAAAACAGGGAAAATTTTCTACTATCCTACCATCGTGTACTTTTAGCCTAGTGTCACTTTCATATTCAAAGTTTAAAATGTGATAATTCAGTTTCCAAATTTTTCAAAGTTTGACATTTTAGTATATAATGTTAATCAGATGTTAATCTATGTTAAATGACATTTGAAAAAGATACGAATATCCTTCAAGTATTATTTAATTTTCTTTATCAGCCACCTAAATATTGATAAAAAATTAACAGTCCAAAATTTTTGCTTATTCGATTTAAGAAAGTTTGGATCACATTTCTGTGGGTACTCAGTGACTCCAACTTTCTTAAATAGAAGAGAAAAATTTGAGATGGTTAATTTTTTATCAATATTTGGATAGTTGATAAAGAAAATTAAATGACATTCGAAAGGCATTTGTGTCTTTCTTAAATGTCATTTAACGACTGGTTAATGACTATGGTAGGTAGGTACGAGATTGTCATGTTTTGAAAGTTTGGGTATTGAATTGTCGTATTTTAAAGTTCGATGACCAAAATGACACTAGGGCCAAAGTATAGGGTACTAATCAGGAATTCCCCCCCACCCCCCCAAAGAAAAAACAGAATAATACGGGTTCTGGGTTTTGTGTGTTATTATAATTGTTTCAACATTTTTTTTTTGAAAGCACCCTTAGGCAAATCCACTCAACAAATTACTCAGTTACATCAGACTCCAGATTAGGAATCAGGAAACCAATAGGTAAATACCAAGTTACACGGGAAGAAGAAGAAAGAGCATGCTTGGCAAGACAATGTGTAACTCGATTACAAGATCAAGGAACAAAAGTAACTGAATAAGAAGGAAGATAAAGAAGATATCTCTTACAATTGATAATGAGAGTATAGATACTCCCATGGAAGTATAGATGAATCCTCTAAGAAGAGATCTCGGAGACAAAAAGCAATATTATTTAAAGCATTTTGTTTTTCTGGTTAAAGGCACTTGCTTTATTGATGTATAAACAATTTATCATTTAGTGTCACTTTTTGTTAAGTTAGGTAACAACTTATTATCTATAATAAATGAATGAAGTCCAAATTGCTATATTATAGGCAATTTCAGAAGTCAAATATAATGGGTCTAATTGGGTGTTAAATCTAATTATCCCCTTTATTATTTTATTTGGTTTTTAGGTCTATTTTATACAACTGTCTATCTTAAATAGAGTGATGAGGAAATTATATCATCGTAGATTGGGATTCTTAGATGGTAATTGGGTTCCTGTATTTTTTTGTGCCAGCGGCATTTGATCGCGAGTCTCAGCCATACGAGGCCCCGCAACTGCAAATGAGGTAGTTGGCGTGGTTTTCTTGGATGACATGGGAATGATGTTTGCAGGCTTGCAGCCAGGTAAGCTGAGGTCTTTTCTTCGGGTAGACATCGAGGGATTCTAGTAAGGAA